TGCCAAGGTGTCATATTTTGGGGTAGTGTGTCCTGAACCCCATCTAGGCCCCCGACCAGCGCCCGAAAGAAATGCTCAACCCGCAGAGCAGCAGGTCTGGGCCCTCCGCACGTGCTCACAGGCCTCTCTCTTCCAGGACTCTGAGGACCAGCTGCTGGAGGGCAGTGACCCCCTGGGGGCGCTGTAAGGCCCAGGCCCGCTGCAGCCAGCCACCCCCATGGCCACCGGGGCCACCCAGCCTCCTCACAAAGGCTGCCAACTGTGACTCCTCGGCCCCAGCTGCTCTGGGGAACGTAAGGTCCCTGAACATTGTGAAGCATGTGAGGCAGTCAAGCCGTACCTCATCTCCCTGGGTAATCTGGAGGATTCTTTGTTTCTGTGGGTGAGGAACCCTGTGAAACCCACCCGCCAACTCGGGCCTTCTCCCTCTGACCTCTGGCTGTTCTTCCTGCTACCTTTAGATGTTCCTACGACATCCTACCCAATTCCACAGTAACTGTGACCTTGTCTTATTTTCTTACTAGACTGTAAGCTCCTGAAGGCAGGGACTCACCTCATTCACCCTGTATCTCAGCACTAAGCACAGTGTCTGGACCATGAAATGGGCTCAATAAATGTTTATGAAACAAACAGTCAGTGGAACAAATCTAGTGTTTTGGGGAACCAAAAATACTGCTCGCCACAGAAGGGGTCAAGGTCTGAAGATAGAATCCACTTATTAGACCTAACTAGGATCTCTTCAGCAGCCAACATCTGCCTATAGTTATTTCTTCTGTGTTGTTTGTGTGCGTATATTAAGAAGACATGATAACCACAGTGAGATACCACTTCCCAGTCACTAGGATGGCAACAATCAAACTGACAGGCAATAACAAGTGCTGGAGAGGTGGTCGCCCTCACACACTGCTAGTGGGACCGTAAAAAGGTGCGGCCACTGTGGAAACATTTGGCAGTTCCTCAAAAATTCACAGAGTTACCATAAGAACCAGAAACTTCACTCCAAGGTACATACCCAAGAAAGATGAAAACAGGTCCACATAAAAATTTACATATGCACGTTCAGAGAATATTATTCATAATAGCGGGGGGAAAATGGAAGCACACCAAATGCCCATCAGCTTATGAATGGGTAACCAAATTGTGGTATGTCCCTATGATGAAACGTCATTCCACCCTGAAAGGGACCCAGGCACTGAAGCATTCAACAGCGCGGATGGACCTTGAGCGCATTATGCTAAATGAAAGAAGCCAGACACAAAAGACCACATATTCTATAATGCCATGTATGTGAAATTTCCAGAACAGGCAAATTCAGAGACAGAAAGCAGATTCATTAGTGGTTCAGGGACTAGGAAGGAGAGAATGGAATTAACTAAGAAGTGTGGGGTTCCTTTCTCAGTGATGGAAATGTTCTGGAATTTCGGTGGTCATGTGCAGGACTCTCCATGCAACACAGAATGTCCACCACACCAGGTCCCTGCCCTCCCAGTGCCAGAAGACACCCCCCCATGACTGTGACAAATGAACACCCTCCAACCCACCCACCACACATTTCCAAACTGTCCCAAGGGGGGCAGTACTGGCTGAGCATAGGAATCTCTGCAGGGACAGAGGAGTGAAAGGCTGGGTCGAGCAGATCTCAGACTCCTCTCTTTTGCTCTCTCAGCCCACATAACTTTGTCCCACATCATTGGGGCTTTTGCTGAGCCAAGTCCAAAGTTCTAGAAGCTTTTCACAACTCCAGGAAAGGGAAGAAGTCAGTCCCAGTTTCAAGCAAAGGAATAGCTTACCATCTCCTCTGGGATGACATGCCGTGGTGGGAGGAATGCCACGTGTCCAGGAAACCACCCCCCAGAAAGAGTGTGGGACAGATTTCTAGGGGGGCCACCAATCCCACCATCACAGGTACCAAAAGGCAAGTGACCTGATGGAAAACAACAGGCTTGTCCATGGGAAAAGGAAATGAGATTAAGGTTCTGGCACAATGAGAGGTCAAGGATATAAAGGTGTTTAAATACAGACACACACGTGCACATACGCACAGGTGCACAAATGCATAAACAGTTTAAAAAAAAAAAAAAGCTCTTCGAAATATTTAAATTTATCCAAAACTGAGTAGACATTTGACTTATATAGCACTCCTAATGTAGTATATTCAGTATTTTCTTCCCTTAAAACACTGCTTCCAGCCCTGGCCGGTGTGGCTCAGTTGGTTGAGTGTCGTTCTGTGTATGAAAGGGTTGCCAGTTGGATTCCCAGTCGGGGGGCGTGCAAGAGGCAGCCAATCGATGTTTCACTCTCACATCGATTTTTCTCTCTCCCCCTCTCCCTTCTTCTCTCTCTAAAAATCAATAAATCTTTAAAAAGAAAATACAAAACACACAAAAACCATTCCTTATGATTTCCAGCTTTCATAGTAATTTGATGGCAGACAAACATGTGGATCACTGTCTTCTCCCTGGTCTCAAGGAGGGAACTGTCTGTGGGAGAAAAGAAACTCCAGGTGGGTTGCCTGCTGCCCACCTACTAAGCTCACACCAATTTTCCATCTGTGGCTAAATTACACAGTCTTCAAGCTCTGCTGGGCATGATAGCACAAGGATGGTGAGAAGTGAACCCTAAATCTTTCACCCCTCCCTCTCACAGGGATATTCTTTTTCGGTCATATTAGAATTTGTTATGGCTTTGCTACTAACTTAAGCACACAAAAACCGATGACTTACAGTAAACTGGACAATACAATTCAATTCTCTTTTATTTGGCAATAAATTCAATATCAGGTAACATAAAATCGACATTTAGAATAAATAGCAAGTTCACATTCAGAATAAATAGTAGGTCTACCTAGTTTGCATTTACTGTGCCTGCTACCCTACAGGCACAATTAGTCATTCAACTAAATAATTAGAAAACAGTTTCCTAAGTCAGAGGTCAAGCCTGCGGTACTAGAAACGTACAGAGGGGCTGTCGCGGGGTGGGTTCTGCAGAGCAGACACGCTGAGATGGAGATCCGAGCAGGAAGGTTACGGGGTGAGTTCTGGGGATCCCCGCCTGGGAAGGGAAGAGAGGCTAGGGGAAGGGAGCTGCTCAGAGGAGGGGGAGTGACCTTTTGGGGGCAGGGCTTTTCAGCAGAGGAAACTCCCACGGAGGGCCCACAGCCACTGGAACACCCAGCAGCTGGGGGTCTCAGTCCTTCAGTCCTGAAGGGTTATGCGGGCAGCCAAGCCCATCACCCACGACAACCACAGTCACAAACAACTACACTAAGAGGTATATTTAACTAGCGCTAGTGCCCGAGCCCGGCGGCTCAATCACACAGGACAATGCCAAGTGCTGGGGACACAGTATCTCACTCTGGCCACATAAGTCAAGATGCCCAGAGTAGCTCCCAGGGCAATACGGGGCACTTACCTACAGGGCTCCTTCCTGCTGCCGCCCCCACCAGGAGGCTGTTCATCTGCACAGAGCAAAGGTTGTGAACTATGGCCTGATGCAGCCTGCAAGCTGTTTTTATAAATCAAGTTGTAATGGAACAAACTTGTGTCCTTTCCTAGAGTGGTGGCAACAGAGAACGGCCTGCAAAGCTGAAAATACCTACTATCTGGCCCTTTACAGGAAAAGTGTGCTGACCCCGCATTTAGAAAACTTCACTCCCTTTCCTGTCCTTAATCCACTCGGGTGTCAAATCCTAAGGCAGATAAAAAAGAAAGAAAAAGGGAAATTGGTACAAAAGGAAACTGATAACAAGAGGGCAAACACACAGATGAATAGAGCAATCGAGGAGCCCGGCCTCCGGCCAAATTCAGTAGCGAGGTCCCCCAAGAGGGTCTTTGGCAGCAGATGAGCATTCTGCATAGTGGAAACTCGTTCCAATACTGAGCACAGCTCTCTACTGCTTCAAGGGCCTTTTGGGAGGAAGAGAGAGGAAAAGCCATTTAGCTCAACCAAAGCTAAATTAGCTAGGAGGAGAAATTACTTTCCATTTCTCCTTTGCAGTAATGAAGAGGGCCAATGCTTTCAAAGCAACTAGCAATTTAGTCTGAGAGGTACCCGAGTCGGTAACAGGTGGTTTATGTTACACTGTGCTAACAGCGACAGCAGGAAATGAAGCTGAA